GGGCCGGAGCTGATCGTATCTCGAAAAATTCATAAGTAGAGGCATTCGTAAGTAGAGGTACCACTGTACTGTAAAACACCTATTGGCTAAAATGATTGATTTGCAATTGTATGTTCATAATTCCAATTAGAAAATTCTGAGTGTTCTGGAATTTCTGCAGAAAAACAAAAATCAACTGATTTCATTCATGAAAAAATTCTGATACTAGATATTACCAGCTGATATGTTAAATAATACTAACAGGATACTAGAAAATTCCATTATCACTGCCCAGTCCCCCAGCCTATAGTTAACAGACCATATATTTATTGTGACAGTTCTTAGTTTTTCAATTGAAGATAATCATTCAAAGTGCACTTGAGAGAAAGTAGAACTTAAAAAACTAGTAATCAGTGACTATTTTCATGGTCCAGTTTCCTGGCAAATAAGAGAAATCTGAAATACTGGTTTCATTTTTCTATTGTTTTCTGTTTCTGTATTCAAAAATCAGTTGAAACTTGTTTCAGTTTCTGAAGCGATATAAGTTTATTACTGCACTGGGCTCTTTGTGCCCTCAAGGAAGTAAACATGTTTGTTTATACATTGCCTGTAATTTATTTCCTCTGTTCTATAAATGGGCACTAGCTTATACATATGCTAATGCATCCTTAAAATATTTTTCTAAATTATTTATGGAATGTACACTCATTGCAACCTTGTGCTTTCTACAGTGCTGGATTCCTTTCTAACAATTTATTATAGTATTTTACAGATGTACCCCAGAGAATTTGGATTATTTTTTTCTATATTTGATTTTTAGAAACAAGGATTTTAGCAATAATTATTCTCTTACCACCTACATTTTACTTTTTCTTAGTTGGGGGAGGGGGCAAACTTTTTTCCCACAACTGTTACTGGATTTGGTTTTCCATCTCACTATATGTCATTCTACATACTATAAACAGTGTAGTGGTGGCTCCAACGATTAGTATAAGAACTATATTATATTTTGATGTATTATTTTATTAGAGCTCTTTAAACTTTAAAAGTTATCTATCTCTTTTGTTTAATGGACTTACATAATAATTATTTCAAAGCTGGGTAAAGGTTCTGAATTGTGTTCCAGTTACAGACCACTTTGATTGATAAATGTGGACAGTAAGATATTTATTGCTATGTTGGCATGGAGACTTCGGGCTAGATTTATGAAACCATCAGGGAATTAATAGTACTAGGCTATTAATTGAGCTAATAGGTAAATAGGTAAAATTCAGCCAGTATTAACATATACAGGAGGCAAAAAATCTTTTGATATATGACATGGTATGATCCCTCAGTTATCACTTTTCAAAAACCATATTGTGACCTTTGCTACTCTTTATTTAAAACACTTTTATGTTATCTGCTCCCTTAACGGCTCTGGATAACTTACAAAAATATAATAAACCAATAATATAATAATGAAAGACAAGAATGATTAAATACTAAAAAATAAATCAGCCATTGCTTAATATTAAAAGCCTAAAACTTTAGAAGAGCTATGTTAATATACATGGTTTTAGTCCCCCTTTGAACTGTAACAAGGCTTAAGGTATATTGTGTTCAACAATATGGAATGTACCATGGAGAAAGCAAAGTTAATTGTTGATGTCAAACACATGTAGCAGGCTCCTCATTTACAATCTGAGACTACAAGATGAATATGCAGGAATAGGTGATCCTGTAAATAGCTTGGAGTTAAGCAACGTAAGGCTTTATATGTGAGTTTCTTAAATTAGGTCCAGGAACTAGCAATTAGTGAAGCTGTTTCAACACGGGTTATGTTGGACCTCTGAATGGCATTATTCATTACCAATGCTGCCTCATTCTGAGCAATGTTTGGACTATCTTCAAGAACTGTTCCACAGAGCATATTATAATAATGCAATTATAAAGTCACCAAGCCAAGTCTTTTGTCTCTATGTAGGGATGTCCTTGATTTATTATCACAATCCCTCAGTCTTGCCACAGATGTTCTGTGGCTGTTCGCTACCAGTGTTGAATCCAGAAAGTCACATAGACTGCAAACCTGTTTGTTAAAGCAGGCTGCAAATCTTCCAAATCCTGAAGTCCCTTTCTTGGAATCTGAAACAATTCAATCTTATTGACACTAATTGTTAGCTTCTTCCCCCATATCCACTCTTTATAATCTGGAGATATTCAGAGGTTCCAGCGCTGTCCAAACTCACAAGAAAGGAGAAGTATAGCTAAGTAGCATCAGGTTATTAATGACAAAGTGGGGGAGGAGAGAGTGAAGCAATATTACTTTACCATAGCATACTAAGAAGAAAAGTGAAGCCACCATAAAAAAGTGTTTCCAAACTATAGCTGTCTCAAGTGCTCCTGAAAGATATCATGTCAAGTGGTTTCAAAAGCTGCCAAGAGATACAGGAGTGCCAATAGGGTTGTATTACCCATTTCGCTCTCCTCTTTCACCAGGGAAACAAAGGTGTCTTGTATGTCAAATCCAGATCTAAATCCATGCTGAAAAAGATGAGATAATCCATTTCAAATAATAGTTTCTAGAGCTCTTTCTCTTTCTCACCAGCATGGCTAAATATGGAGAATTGGACAGTGACCAATAATTGTTAGAATTTGCTGGATCCAAAAATGGTTTCTTAAGCAAGGGCCTCACCATCACCTCATTTCAAATAACAAAATTCTTTCTCTGCAATATGGAAATACTAAGAGTTTGGAAAGAATTATTCTGGAAGAATTATTCAGTAAAGATGGTTACTGTCCCCTTGAGTTTGGCATTTGGGAGCTAAAACACAAATGTTTACAGTTTGGACTCCTCCTGTCATTACATTTTGATTTGAAATCTACAAAAAAGTTGGTATGCCCATAAAACAATTACTACTATGTATTAAGGTGGTACATTGTCTTCTGGGATCTATCCTTAGAAACTAACAAATAAGAGTTTTCTATATTTGTTAAATCTAACCAATAAATAAATATAGAACTTACAAACATATAGAGTTATGGATCTTGTACATGAGGGGTTGTCAAGAAATTTATCCAGCTTTGGAAGGACACATATTCAATTGAGCAGCAAGAAAATGGCCAAATGTTTTTGAACACTTGATATATTGCCAAGTTTGCTTTTTTTTTTTTTCACAATCCCTATTTTCTTTTTCTATTCCCCTTTCAAATGCTGCATCTGCTTCTGATACCTCATTCTGATCCCTGATGTCCCATAGAAAAAAGAGATCGTAGATAGATGGTCAGTTTCAGAAGGATCATTGGGGTTTTAGGCAACTATACTACAAATATCAACTTATTTACTCTTGTTTATGGAAGGAACTGTAACATCAAATGCACAGAAGTATATGATTGTGGTTAATTCTGATTGAGTTTAATAAGGAATATGTGAAATAGTCAGCATTTAAAAAAGCTCACAAAATGAGCAATACAGTCACATATGACACCGAATAAAAATTTAACTCAACCAGAAACAAAACTTTATTCACTCTTTCAATGCATGCATAGTAGTGTCTTGACAGATTTGTTGATTGTTCACATGACTCTGATAAACAGACCAGAGAGAAATTCACCAGCCCCAGGTTCACACTTACCATGAATTTAAGGTTACATGTGTATGCATGTAGATTTCAGCAGGTCTGTAGCAAATGCTTTTTAAATACATGTGCTCATAATGCTAGAAAGGCCAAACTGTTTTTTCACTGATTTTATTACTCTATTATTTAATTATTTTTTAAAGTTATTTTATTTTTTTGAAAGCCTAACAGGATTAGGGCCATCCAGATTTCTAGGGAGATGCCCTTCTTACTTCACTGAAGAATCTATAATTAAAATACTGTCATATTTTCTGTATAGGCTTGAATATTTTGAGGACAAAAAGAAAATATAGTACCTTGATATTTTAGGGTTTAGGACTCTGAAAATCAGCAGAGAACCCTTAACTGCTAAATTAATTGGTTTTAAGTTCAGGCTTTAAAAAACAATAATTGTACAATTTGATTTAATTTAAATCCACAATTTTTAAAGTATGAACAGATACAGATAATCTTTTAGAGGAGGCAGCTGTCAGGGTTTGTGTATTTAAACATCTTGTTTAAATACACATTGTGTATTTAAACATTTTTTCCTATTGGGTGAGAGACTCAATTATGCTATAATCAGAATGGCAATTCCTGTCTCAGGTTTCTCTAAATTCAGCAGAGTCAGCTGTGTGGGGGTATATACTGTATGTGTGGGTGGGTGATATCTTGATCTTATAAGTCAGACATTGTTCATCTTTTCAGACACTAAAGCAAAGAATAAAGTAAAACAATTTAAAAATTAAAGCAGTCAAAATGTCATGAGATTTAAGCATTCTTGCAAATTTATTCATTTTATTTATTTATATTTCAAATTTAGTCACCACCCATCTCACTCAGAGAGTGACTCTGGGTGATTTACAATAAAAATAAGAATAAAAACCAATTAAAATAAATAAAAACAGTATTCATAAATAAATAATATATTCCAAGGAATTGATGGTATATAATAGGCTATCGACCTCTGGGAGCATCTTCAGGGTGCCAACCACCCCCAGGGTTGGTTAACCCTCCTCAAGCCCCACATGAGCTGGCAGAGCCAGGTCTTCACCCCTTTCCAAAAGGCTAGGAGAGTGGGGGCCGCCTCACTTCTGGGGGGAGAGTATTCCATAGGGTGGCAGCAATATTTGCAGGACTGCCTGTTTCCAATTGTCTTTTCTCATTCCATGAAATCTGACAGAGTGGACATGCTCTGGGTCCCATCACTCAAGCAGTATCAATAAGCAGGGCCCAGGATGTACATATGTCTTTTCTGTCTCAGTATTTGTCCTATGGGACAGCATTTCTTCCAAGATTCGGATAACCCTGAACCCGTTAGCCTTCTGTAGGGCCCTGAAAACTTGGCTTTCCCTGAGAATTGGGCCAAAGCACTGGATGAGTCTATCCAGAAATGAAATGATTTGAATGGGAATGTGTTGTGCTTGGCCTCAGTTCTTCTGTATTGGATGTTTGTATGTTCTGTTTTTGATTTCTCTGTTTTACGTTTTTAACTCTCTGAAAGCCACCCAGAGTTGCTATTGTCAGTAGGTAGCCATATAAGTAATTTAAATGAATAAAATAAATAAAAAGTCTTAAGATTCTGGACATTAACCAAAAATGGCTCTCAAGGCTCTTTTGCTTCCACATAAAGAATACCAGGTACTCCATTGCAAATCTTTCTATTAAAATTATTAGAAATGTCAGGTTAATCAACATCGCAACTTCCAACTCTTCTGGATTTCTTTCTGAGGGATATTGACAGTCCTCGTGGATTTTACAAACATGCTTTTTTTAAATTGGAAAAGATTCTTCTTCATTTATGAAAATATCCTACTTTTTAAATATAGATTTTGTTGTCTGCCAGCCTAGGAGTAAAGCAGACTGAAAATACAGTTATTTAAAAGGTGAAACAACTCAATTTTAGTTTTGTCTTTTTATTTTTATAGGGAACATTATGTAATAGAAATCAAGCTTCCAGAAAAGATGTTTGAGTTGCTTCCCCAGGAGATTAAAGATGGGAAACTGCTCTATGTCTATCCAGTCCTCTTTAATGTTGGAATCAATGAACAACAGACGCTTGCAGAAAGGTAAATCATCAGGGTAATATGTTGTTTTCTATTAGAAAAATGCCCATAGAGCTGGCATCCAATGAGATAATTGAATAATTGGTTATGATAACTTATCTAGAGCTGATATACAGAAGTAAGGAAAGATGATAAATTCATTCTGCTCACATCTGTATAAACTATACCTGATTGGCAGCTTCCTGAATAAATAGGCAAACTGGACTGTGCTGTGTTTATAGGAACTATACAGTTTGGAATTCAAAAAATGCACAGAAAATATATGTGTTACGAAAAAGGGTTAACCAAACTCCAGAAGTTAGGAATGCATTATTTCACTGAAAATTTGTTCAATGAAATTGAACAAATGAAATGTGCATGTTAGGAAAAAATGCATTAAATTGTATATATTAGGAAATGGAGATTGGAAAATACCTAGAGTATCAAACAGATTGGCTTTTTTCAATTCATAAACTGATGATGAAATAATGTCAAAATAAATATACAGTTGGAAAAAATAGAACTTTAGTCAAGCAAAATGGCATTCACCGATCCGTACCAAGAAATACCTGGCTAGATAGTTGCAGCAGGCACTATTGGGTTTTTCAGCACAGACCATCCAATGAAAGATACATGCTCACTGTCAGAAACTTTGGTGTGTGTTTGTGACTGGAGAAATCAAGGATATTTAAGGGGGGAAAAGGACCATCTCCTTAAGATCCTATCTGAGCATGTGTCTAACAATTCCTCTGAGTGTCTCAGCAACTGGTTAGCCAGCTACAGCATATCTGAACAGATTTTTCAATTTTCAGTTCCAAATAAATGTTGACATCTTCAGCTAAGGGTAGAATGTTTATTTGTCATTTATTTGCAGGGCTTATAAGCCTCTCTAGTTAACTACCTCTGAGTAGGTACAACTCACTAATCCATAATTAGGGTTAAAAGAAATATTTTATAGTCAAAATTTTAAACCAAAACACAATATAAACTGCTATGGTGCACATAATTGCACCAGGAATCAATTTTAAAAAATCAAAAGAGTTATTCATTCAGAGAGAGAGTTGTACCCGCCAAACTTGGTAGAACAGCCAACTTAGCAATTTTCTAAACATCAGCAGGGATTTGGTCATCCAAATTTCTGAGGAGAAACTATTCCAGAGAAGGAGACAGCAACAGAAAAAGCATGATTCTCAATTCTTGATTGAGGGGACAAATAAAATTTGTACATAATGTATATGCTATTATTATATCAACAATAATGAACATTTGAAGAAATATCAATTCATAATGCCTATATAATGGACTTGGCAAGGACTAGGGTGGTCCAATTACAATGATTTTTCTCCATTTAGACATTCATTACATGCATATGATTAAGAAAAATCTCTAATGTACCTTAAATTAGTATTTGTTTGTCTTCAGCTTAATTCAATATTTTAAATGCTTTTAAAGAATCGCGATGCATAATAAAAAATCGTTATAGAATATTCTAAATACAGCTGTGTGAAAAAGAAAGTGCACCCTTTTGGCTTTCTTTTTGTGAAATAAGTGGTAATATGCTAAGAAGCAGTCCACCCTATGTGAAAAGTAAGTATCAAAATTGTCAGTGCTATGTAGTAACAGAGAAATAAAGATTTTTCTATGGGAGAATAAAGCTGAGCTATACTTACAGTTAGAGTGCATTGTTGGTGCCTGAATCTCTAATATATAACATTAGCCTAATTCTATACATATGAGAAATGTACACTGGAATAGGCAATTTGACTTGATTGTAAGACTTATGCAAAGCATTAGGGCAGGCTATAACAGAACAAAACAAAATATGCTACTGTGTTATTATGGCTGGTCAAAAGCAAGACATCCAACAAAAGCCTTTTATAGGATAGCCTCATATTCACTGACCCTCTATTCTGTGCTGTCACATATAGAAATTAAATCCAAAGTTGTCTTCCACAATGTCAGCCATTGGAATCCAGCTGCTGTAAAGATTTTAACTGTATAATTTCTACATCATTTGATGCTTCCATAGAAAATTATTTTGAGCAGCACTAGAACTACATGCTGACCCATACCCTTCTAGGGTGTGGCTAGGAACAGATGGAAGTTTTGCAATAAATAGATAATATCAGGGAAGACTTCACTTTCAATTTTATCCTTATTGATTGAAAAATTCCTAAATGTTTCAAGATAATTTATTTCTATATAAATGCTCTGTAATACATAAGAATGTGCCATCATTTACAGTATTAAAATGTTTTTTTAATTAAATTCAATAATGTATATAGCAGGTATAATTGTGTAGTTTATTCTGTTGTTTAATCACCTCGTATGATATTTGTTATTGTTATTGCATAGGAAAAAATAATGATGCAGTCAGGCCAATTCTCCTTTGGTTTGAGAGAAACATTACGGCATCACAAGTCCTGCAATACAAGGAGCAATCAAGAGGAGATGAGGGGCTCTTTCAGTGTTGCTTAAAAAAAAAAACCCACTATAAAACGATATAGAAAATATTTGTAATGGCTAGAGGCTGGAATCTGAAGCCTACCATTAGATAAAACTGGCAGAATTACTGCAAGCACTAGCTTTATTTCCTTGGAATTTTCCACAGGCATAACTTATGCTTTAGTGAGGACCTTTCAGCACTTCTCAACCAATTTTCCAACCAAAGGCCCTGTTTGTTTTTTTTGGGGTATCATTTTTGTAACCCATGTAATGATGTTTCAGAACCTTTTTATTTTCTCAAGATCTTTAAATTGTAATGGTGATTTTATATCGTGGCTGGTTTGAGTTGCAGATACATGCTACACACATACTCCAGAGCACCTCTTTAGATATGAATGTGAAACACTACACAGCCATAGTAATTAACCCATATTAATTAACATAAAGCTGAGATTGTTCAGTTTCTCTGAGTGGACCATGTTTAATTGTTCAATAGTGCATTTATGCTATTTTTGTTCTTGTTTTTTGTGTATATGTTTTGTGATACTTTAGGTTTGGAGATACCTCCTTGCAAGAAAGCCTTAACCAGGAAAATTTGGAATTGCTAAAAGAATATTATAAGTTATTAATGGAAAAAATACCTCCTGATTGTAAGCATTTTAATAGATCTTCATTATGTTGAATTTGTCGCATTTACTAAACCCTAAGGTAACATCGTTCATACAAAGCTATTTTTTATAAACGTGGGTTTCTTTATTATTTTATGGCAAACACTGCCCTTTCTGTTTCCAAAATCTTCTCCCAAATCCCTTTCACTTGAAATAGAATTTCCCAGTGGTATTACTGGGAACTGACTGAAGGTTTACATGGAATAATGTCGAAATAATGTTTTCATAGATTTTAATTGTGAATCAGTCACTATTTCATATTTATTTGGATTTTGACCAGCAAAAAGTATAACAAAGACAACAGAGAATTAATCACAGAATCATCAGGTTATATAACTTGCAGAGTAGCTGTGCGATCCCAGGGGAAAAACATGTCAGAGTTAAGCTGTGCTAACAGGGCATGACAAAATTCTTTGGAGTAGCAATGGGCTCACTGTTGGCATTTCCTTAACTCATGTGTCTATTTTCTGGTATTGTGTAGTTACTGTATAACCCAAGGAAAAGGCACAGCTTTGTTAAGGTGCCAACAGGTATGGCATCCACACCGCATAGCCTGCTCCAAAAAACCTTTTCAAATGTGGCACGTTTCTACAACTACAGGATTAAATGCTAATAACATAAATATATCTAGTATAATATATCTGTAAAACTAAATTCTATAAAACTAAGGATTAGTAGTGAATTTATCTATGAATCTAGGAACTGTACAATATAACAAAATACCTATTAATAAGTGAATCTAGAAATCTAAAATTATAAAACTATAACACGAAGCTAACCTAAAATAGCCTAAAATAATTCCTAGTCAAAATGAAATAATGATTAAATATTATTTGAAAAAGTATAGGTCTTAATAAAAAGGGGCAAAAATCAGAATGCAAATATGGAATATTTCTAGCCCAATTGATACTTACTGGACATCAGGTCAGGTATTTTTTATACATTTCTCTGTAGAATGTGACTACAATGATAGAAGAGTTTTCTAATAAATGGGCATACAATTTATCTGTGTGGTCTGATAATCTTAAAAATAATGGGTGGATAAATGTACATCAAGAGAATATGTTTAATAGTTTCAACTTGGCCAAGAGCTTCCTAAATCTTCCCTTTAGCAAGGCTAAGGATAAGGCACTGAAGTGATTAGGGACCTAACAGTAAAAAATAGGTAGCAGGTACTAATGTGTAGGTACTAGTATTTATCTGCAACTATAACTAATAGGAAGGTTTGGGACTCTGGCCAGGTCAGACTAATGTGCTACATTCATTCTACATTGCATTATCAGAACTCTAGCCTGCTTATAGCCCACTGAAAGCAAATAGGCAGCAGATAATCCATGTAAAGGTAATTTCTTCAGTATAGTTCTTTTCAATTTTGCAGTCTCCAGAGCACTTCCAAATGCCTTTGAAATTTTGTAACAAAATGTTCCTTCTTTCCGTTTTCTCAAGATAGAGACATTTATTCTCCTCCAGTCTTCTGGAACCTCCAAAGTTCAGAGATTACAGTAAGCGTTTCTGTGATTAGTTCCCTACTTCTTTCAGTACCATACCATATATCTTCAATACCATAGCATACCATAACTTAGTTTTCTTTTATTTTTATCTTGGCTATCCTGATCCATAGCTTCCTCCTTCCACTAGTGTTACAATGACGACCAGCTAGGCCTTCAGTTCATTCTGAGAGAAGACAGATATACAGTACAAGTTAAGACATTTGCCATTTTCCCCATCACCCATTACCAATATATCCCTTTCTCTCACAGCAGACCTATATCTTCTTTGCCTTTCCTTTGCCATACTGAAAAATGCTTATTTATTTATTCATCAAATTTATATGGCCATCTCACAAAAAAAGTGACTCTGGACAGCATACAATAAAACTATAAAACAGATAATATATAAAAACAATTATTCAGAAAAAAATTAAAAATTGCAATTAAAGGCTAAGAGAGGGCAGCAGATGTCAACAACAATGGAACCACCTCAGTACCTTGCCGGTCCCCTGGGGCCCCCAGGCCTGATGGCATAACCAGGTTTTGAGGGACTTCTGGAAAATCATCAGGGATGTAGCCAGCCTCACTTTGAGGGGGAGGGTGTTCCGTAAGGCGGGCGCCACAGCAGACAAGGCCCACCTTCTGGGTCCTACCAAGTGTAGCTCCCTACGGGACCCATAGCATGATTCTTCTGCCAGATCTGATGGAACAGACAGATATAAATGTGGAGAGGTGGTCTCTCAAATAACCCAGCCCATGCCATGAAGGTCTTTAAAGTTCAAAAACAGCATCTTGAATTGGACCCAGAAGCAGACTGGCAACCAATGCCACTCATGGAGCAGAGGTGTAATGTGTGCTGTTCTAGAGGCACACATAACTGCCTGCACCACTACATTTTGCATCAGCTGAAGCTTCCAGATACATTTCAAAGGAAGTCCTATGTAGAGTGCATTACAGTAGTCCAGTTGGGAAGTGATTAGTAAGTGACCATGAGCAGAGCCCCATGATCTAGGAATGGGCACAACTGGTGCGCAATACGAAGTTGTGCAATGGCCATCCTAGCCACGACTGCCACCGACTCTTCGAGCCAGACTCATGAGTCCAAGAGGACCCCCATGTTGCACACCAGATCTGTTTGGGGCAGTGCAATCCCATCCAGCACCAAAGATGGCATAGTCTTAGAACTGGCAGGCCCAAAAACCTAAAGCTACTTAGTCTTGCCAGGATTCAGCTGAAACCTGTTGTTCCCCATCCAGACATTCACAGCCTCCTGACATTGGAATAAGATGTCCATGGCTTTGCCAGGGGCAGAGATGTATAATTGGGTATCATCAGCATATCGAGGATACCTCACCCCATGGCAACGGATGAGCTCACCCAGTGGCTTCATGTAGATGTTGAATAGGAGTGGAGAAAGCACTGAACCCTATGGCACCCCACACAGAAGGGGCAAAGGGAAGCACTCCAATTGCCACCAACTGGAATCAACCCCAGAGAAAGGAGGTGAACCAGCACAACACGGTGCCACCTACCCCCAATCCTCTGAGCCAATCCAGAAGGATACCATGGTTGATGGTATCAAAAGCCACAGAGAGGTCAACTAAAGCAAGGATGGATCCACAATCCCCACCCCACCCTCACCAGAGATCATACAAAAGCATGACCAATGCTATTTTGGTCCCATACACGAGTCTGAATCCTGAATGAAAGGGATCCAGATAACCTGCTTCATCCAACATCCTCTGAAACTGTTGTGCAACTACCTTCCCCAGAAAGGGGAGGTTACATACTGGACAAAAATTGTCCAGTACAGTGGGGTTCAGCAATGGCTTCTTGAGGAGGGGTCAACCCAAGGCCTCCTTAAGAGGTAAAGGAACAACCCACTCACTCAAAGTAGAATTCACCACTGCTAGAACCCACTTACACCACACCCCTTGGGCTGCTTTAATAAGACAGGGGGCATGGATCTAAAGAGCAGGTGGCTGACTGTACAGGAGCTGAGGAGCTGGAATGCGAAACCAGTATAAGACATTGGCCCCACATTCCCCAAGAACATCCTGCTCCCTGTCTCCTACCATATCTCCCCATGCCCATCACCACTATAATACTTTGGCCCACCCCAAACTTCCAAAGGCAGCAACACCCCCCAATCCTTGGCCCCCTAGTTTCCAAGGCCAGGAACTATTCCCTGTCCTCAGCACTAACCAACCCAGGAAGGGAAGGCAAAGACCCCTGAGGCACTTCAGCATCAATAGCTCTAAATACTATCAGGTTGCTCAGCGACCACCTTCCCCACTCACACTCAACACACTCAAAAACACACACCCATTCACCCACTCCTGCCACTCTCACTGACTAGTCCAGGGATCCCTCTCCATTCACCCCAACCCCACCAATCCCCTCCTCTGGCTCTCACCTAGAGGAGAGAATTGGTCTTCAGTGGGAAACCCACAGTCCACAAATCAAATCAAATCTTTGTTACAGTCAAAGACCAGCATAAGGAGGGTCAATTAAAAAGCATAGAAAATACATCAGAGTCTAAATAATAAAAAGCTAAAAGATATAAAATAGAAAGTATATATCTAAAAGGAATCTAAAAGGAGGGGTAGGAGCATTAGATGGGTGTAGGGGAGCATAAAGGTTAGTATATGGCGACAATCCATAGGCAACATAGGCAACCTAGCCAGTAGATAAAGTCCATACTGAAGTGGTATATGCTGTGTCATCCTCTTCCTTTTTGCCACTAACAGAAGGGAAGGCAAAATGGCCTCCTCAGGGAGGGAGGGGCCACAGTAGCCTGCCACTCTACTGTCATCTCCCCACCCCCGGCCACCGCCAACACTTCCAGTGTCCCGACATCCTGGATGGCCTTTCAGATGGAAAGCTGCCAAGGTGCAGCTCCCGGCAGCAACCACCAGGGTTGCATCACATCACAGCAGGCAGAAGGCCTCTGTCATCAGCGTGCAGCAGGAATCTCCCAATGGCCCAACCAGCCACAGGAATGCCCAGTCCTCTATTGCTGCCAACCGAAAAAGTGCCAGCCTAGCCAACCCAGCAGCCAACACAATCCCTCCAGCACAGCTGCCAACAAACCACCTCCAAAGAAAAGAACTTCTTCTTGTTGTTCTTATTGTGGACATTTACTGCACATTTCAGTTCATTCTGTGATGTTGATTCTACAGTTCATTCTGTGATGTTCTGGTGACTGGCTGGTATCCTCCTTTGTTTCTTCTTTTATTTCTATACACGTCCCTTTCTCCTTTCAGAATTTTAGAAAGCTTGTCTATATCCACGCTGGTATCTATATATGATCCCATTTTTCTTTGTAATATAAATTGTTTACAGTTGCACTTTCAGGATCCCATTTTACAGAATTTTCCATCCTTCCCAGACACATTTCTCCTTCAGAATTTCAAGCCACTGGATCTGATTTACCTTCATTCATTGAAATCTGCTCCTCTGAAAGCCAGTATACAAGTTTGACTTCTCTCTATTCTTCCTCCCCTTGATATCATGAACTCAAGGATACCATGATCACTTTCTCCCAAGATTCCAGTTACTTTTACTTCTTCAACCAATTTTTTCTTCTTGGCAGTGATGTAGAAATTCCTTAGACTGTAAGTGCTAAACCTACTGGTTTTGCGTTGTAGTTTTCTACCAATTTCTATGTCATCCCTTTGCTTTCATGCTTATCTCTTGTATTGTTCAATCCAGTGTTTGGTATTATGTTCAGTTCTGAGCCTTTGGCACCTATCATTCACTAACTAACATTCTCCAGATATATCCTTCCCAGGCTTTGTGAAATGTAGGCCACCTTTTGCTAAGGGTCGTTCATGTAGGTAACACAGTCCATGGCTGAGGAATATAAATCCAGAATAGGATCTCAATTACAGGATCCTGTTGCTTTTCTCATGCGATAACTCTCTATTGGAAGGATTAACAGAAGCACCTTCCTGCCCAGGCCTCATAATTTGTGAAGATCTGTTCAAGATCTCTTCTGGCAGTGTCATCCATCATCACATGAATTATTAGTTATTGGTGGTTGACGAAACTCAGCAGCTTGTCTGTCTTAATCAGGACATAGGACCTGGAAGACAACACACCTCCCATGACATCATATTAAGTCTGCATAGTCTAGTTTCAGTTAATTTCACAAGGAATCACTCATCATCACAATATGCTTCTCTTTTCTCAAAATTGTTATTTTTTTTTTCAACTTATTATAACCGAAGTGTCTTCCACCTTGTTCTGTGAAGCTGGGGTGGTGAGGCTTGCTCAGCTGGCTATGGATTGTCTTCAAGATCAAGAAGCTAATACCAGGTTCTGAGCTCCATCATCACTAAGAACCTCCTGTTTCTCTTGTGTCTCTGGATGACATGCTTCCTTTACTTTCCCCTCTATGTTCTCTGGCATTCATGTCCCTCTCTGCTTTTCCTATCCTGTCCAGGAACTTTTTACCTTCTCTGGTGTGTGCAAGTATAAAACCTCTCTCTTCATGTTATTTTGCCTTCTCTTCCAGTAAGAACACAGGAGTGGTGGTTTGGGTTCTTTTCAGGTAGGAGGGCAAACATTGCATGAACATCACCACAAAGCCTCCTTCACTCTCCATGCTGCTCAGAGTTAATTGGAATGGATGCCACATTCCTTCTACCAAACTCCCATGTTAAGTTCCCCTGCCTGCTCTCTCTATTTGCACATTCAGTAAAGTTTTTTCTGCCATCAATGTTTCTTCCTTCTCTTTCTCCCCTTACCACTTTGTTTCAATGCTGAGTATCTCATGAGGGTAAATTTTATTCATAAGAACTGTGGCTTGGAAGTGAAGAATTAAACATCCTATCTCTATATGCTGTGACTCTGGTGAAAATTGGAGGAGTGGAATCACATCTAATACAAAAGCTTTTAAAACTTACAGTAGAAGAACATCTAATGTGATCATTTGCTATAGGTATTCTATGTATTAAACTGTTTCTATTTTAATATTCAGTTCCTTGACCCAAAACTTCCCTTTCTTTTCCTTCTGCTATACATTTTGTTTTATGTGGGTGACCAAATGCTATAAATAGAAGAAAATCTAATTTTCCATTTTTGTATACTGACTTTTTGGCTTCTTATTATTTCTTTGTCCCTTATAATGAAAATGCATTCCCACTCTGAGTCCTGGAAAACTGCTAGTTCAGGTTAAGTCCTGATTACATCTGCCATCAAAACATAAGACCTCAAAAGGGGGACTTAAAATTACTGTTGTTATTCAACAAGGATTTATTTATTTCAGGTGATCTTTAGTGCACTGCAGCATTTTTCTGGACTTTCATAAAGACGATTGTTGTTTAAAATTGCTTTCTCCCTAGGATATAATAGATTTGAATCAATATTTTTAGTGTATTTGCCAAACAGATGCAAGCATGCCTTTTCCAGCTGCTAACAATATTATTTGTGGATTTTTATTTGCTGAGTCTTTCATAGGACTGGAATTAATGCTAATGAGGTTAAACTTGTGTTTAACTATGACAGACTATCAAAAATTGTTTTAATGCTGCTCATTTTTTGGGATGTTAAAACAGACACCTTTATAATTAGAAAAATCAGTAAAACCTGAGATAGCAACCACTTTTTCTGGTTATAGCTAGCAAAATTACTGCAGTAGCTTAGAATTAGGTCTTAATAATATATTAACTCGGTATTTATCCCAACCACAGCATAAAGGGAAAGTCGCTAGATTTCCAAACAACCAGCAGTTTATAATACCTCTCCTCCAAAATGTCATTATGCAAATACAACTTTTGTGTGATTCTTTAAGGGTCAAGACAAATGTGATATGAAACAAAGATACTTCTGTTCTTTGTTGCTTTGTTTTGTTTTTGTTTCTTACCTGTAAACCCTAAATTGATAAAAGAGAAATTCAAAAGTTCATCTATTTAAACCCTTCCCAGCCCCACATTTGCTAATAGCTGTAAAGGGGCAAGATACCATACAACTATATTTTTTAGAGTTTTGCCAAATATGGAAGGAGAGAGAAACATCCCCTAATTTTTGCTCTTTTTTTTCCTGCCATAAAACAAGAGCAAATATAGAGAGGTAGGAGGAAAGGTAGCAAAAGGCAAAAGACAAACATGGTGGCTTGCCACCATTTGGAGGAAAGGTTCAGACATTATCATGGGGTTGAATTGTGTTGGTAATAAACTAAATTTTTCTCCAACAGACCCAATCAAAAGAGTCCTCATCATCACTACATGTAACGTGAACTACTGTGTTCTAGTAATGAATAGCTGGTGTGTTCTATAGTTTTTGGATAATCTCGTTGATTAAAGCTCCATATCCATAAAAGTCAATAGTAATATTAATGAAACACTATCTTTCCCAGTTGAAGTAAATTATGAAGAGGCCACTCAGCCTGAATTTGACAATGATTTAAATTAAGATGGTGTTTGTCATTATTGTTGTGTTTTTTTTCTCATCCTTCATGTCTCCCTTCCTCCTGCCCACAAAGGTGCTGTGGTTTTTATACACCTTTGCTGCAGTTATTGAAAGAGCAGCACTAGGAATTATTACAAAGAGGAAACAGAAATGGAGTCGATTGTGGAGTGCTTCCAGTTTCTATTCAAATTGCAGACATTGGGTGTTTTGCACTTCAGAAGAAACCCTTAAGTAGCAGTGTCTATATTAACAAACACAAATTTGTTTGGTCAGTCTTAAATGATGACATTGCTCTGTTAGATGAAAATTCTCATGCATTTGAAATGACTGTGTAGATATTTTTTTATGGATGGGAAATATTATCACTAGCTGCTTCCTTCTCCTTTTCAGGCCTACCACATTTTCAGGAACAGAATGATTTGAAAGGATTACTAGAAAACCTTCATCAAAATATTCAGACTAAAAAAAGAAAGAATGTAGAAATCATGTGGTTGGCTGCAACGGTAAGAAGCCTCATTAAACAGCAATTCCACTGAAATCATTCTGTCTTGTTAAATTAAACTTCAGACCCCAAAAGAGTTGAGGAAAGTCACTAATGAGGTTTTTTTCCCCTAGATCACTCTAAATTTCTTTAATTACAGAATATGTATATTTTTAGACTCACTGGGTGAAATATATCACTGGGTGGAATCAGTTGCACATGCATGCTTTACCCAGGCCAGTTTTCTTAGTGCCTATTTGAATTCTTGTTGCTGCCATATCTGCCTATATTCAACATATTGATATTACATATTCTTTTGAAAAAGTTCTCTGCATTTAATGAATCATATACTTTTAATTGCTTTTTCTGTTGTTTTAATTGCGTTTTCTGTTGTTTCTAATTGTTTTAGATTTTGGTTTGAGGTTTGGTTTGAAATTCAAAAAGAAATTGAGATGATTCTATAGCCATTTCATGAATATCCTGTTTGCATTTTCATTTCATCTCATCTGAAGTTGAGAAAGACAGAAGATATAACAGAGAAGGCTGACATTAGGGGTGAAATGAGGGAGTGTTAGGATTAGATGCCATTTTCATAAGAGCTCTAGTAAGAAAATACTTCCTGAAAACAGTATGGTCTCTTTACAGGCACAGTTCCTGTGGCCAAGCTATATTGATACACTTTTGCTATCTGGTCTACTAAGACTCAAATTAAATGATGGAGGAGCTCTTTCAAACTTCATGTACAGAGAGCAGGTCTATGAATCTCCTTTCTTAACCCTAACCCTAGTCCTCACTTGTACTCTCCAGCCACTTCCTTAAAAGCCAAGAGAGGAATCAGGGCATTGTCTCTACAAGCAAACCCTGCCTTTGAAGATTGGGATAAGCCACTTAGCTGGAATGAGATTCCTCAAACTCAGCAACAGGCTTACTGTGGAATCTGTACATCCAGGGTCTACATGATGCCAGCAGATCAGTCAATCCCCTCTCACCCTAGCTTGGTCTTCCTTTCTGAGAGGGTCTCAAGGTTCCCTATTTTCCTGCTGCTGGGATTCAGCCTTGGAATGCAAGGAATACAGCCATGGCAATCCCCACTCTCCTCATCTCCTCCTGATTTCATGGAGGCACAAAAGAACAACAGGGGTGTCTGGATCCTAAAAGGTTGCTGACACATACTATAAATCTTAAAATATATGCATATACAGATGTTTGTAAGTTATTGTGACCTTTGTTTTATACTGGAAGTACTTTGATACAATGTACTTTTCTTTGATAAATAATCACCAAAGTTTAAGCACAAATTCACCCTACATCATCTCAAATTCACATTGATGGAAGTCTAAATATAATTGTTATAAATGGTTTGCTCTAATTGTGCAGAAGTCGTGGGCTTTATTGAAGGCATATTTGCTTGATTTATTATTTATTTCCATTAATCTGACATCAGCTGCACATATACTGACACATTTATGCAATTCACAATCTTAAATTAGGTAATTAAGAATATAGATTGTGTTATCTGATTTGGGCTCCACAAATTACCCATCTGTAAGTTAATTATTTTTCTTTTTCCAGTAAGTTGTTTTTGTTTTTGTTTGTTTGGTAAGGTAGATATTAAATACAGTAGTCCATGGACCATTGTAATATATTTGATGGATCTCCAAAAAGCAGGTGGTTACTGCTTTATTTATTTTGTTAATAAGAATAAAACATCTATAGTGGCTAGATTAGTTTCTCCATATATGGCTACAGTTTTTCTTCAGAATTCATCCATCAAGATGGGAAGTTAAAGACTGGAGAAAACTTGTAATATGCGTATTTTGGCACCACTTCCATTCTTTCTGTTCATGAACTGCTTCAGTGCACTTATGTTTGAACAGTGACAGTTGTGAGGAGGAGTCACAGTAGTAACCATCAGTGCTGTAATGATGCTCTTGCTGGTACTTCTTCAGCTCAACTGATCAGTGGCACACAGCTTCCTTCACCTCAAGGAAAGCAGTTGAATCCAAACAAACAATTCTGATGTATTGTCGAAGGCTTTCACGGCCGGCATATGATGGCTGGTGTGGGTCTTCCGGGCTG